GGCGCCACTACCGCAGCCATGAGCCGCTTTAAGTTCATGGGTGGGGGGGCGGCGCGCGTCGGGCGTCCCTGGGTGGCGGGGAACGTGGCCCCGCGCAGAGCGCTGCGGTGTGTGGGCGCCCCTCCTCCCCCATGGGGCGCGGGAGGGGTCTGCCCCTCCCCCAGGCGCGAGCTCGGGAGCTTCTCTCTTGCACGCTGGGCAGAAGCGGGGCCCAGTCAAAGCTGGTTCCTCCCTCGCCGTGTCTCTGTGCCCCCCGGGATCACTTCAGCTTCAGGGTAGGAAGTCTCAGAGGGCTGGCTGCGGTGACTTTAAAAACAACGAGTAGTCCCCTGGCACCTTAGAGGCGGAGGGTTGTTGAAAAAACATATGCTGTAAACCAGTGGCCTCCACGCTTTGTACACCCAAGATCGCTTTTTAAATGACAGAACAAGCCAAAATCTACCGCCCCTTCCTTGAAGCCCCGCCCTCTCTATTCTCCTCCTCTCCATCACTTGCTATCCCCAACCCTTATACTGCTGCTTTTTTTTTTTTTAATTCTTCTCTAGGAAGAGGTTTTTCCAACATTTGGCCTGTCTAGACTGGACCAAATGTCAGCAAAACCCCTTCTTTTGGAAGCCCCCTTATTCTCGTGGAAAGAGGAATATAGGGGTGACCGAAAGAGCATGTTTGCTCTTCCACTTAAAAAAGCAGAAGAACAAACGCATCCCTGGATGCAGAAGAGTTTAAGTGGGTCTGGCCCACGAAAGCTAATCATCTAATAAACCATCTTGTTAGTCTTTAAAGTGCTACATTGTCCTGCATTTTGAAAAACTCTGGGCTGTGTCTACATTGGCACCCTTTTCCGTAAAAGGGATGCTAATGAGACACTTCGGAATTGCAAATGCCGCGGGGGATTTAAATATCACCCGCGGCATTTGCATGAACATGGCTGCTGCTTTTTTCCGGCTCGGGGTTTTGCTGGAGAAAAGTGCCAGTCTAGACGGGATCTTGCAGAAAATCCCCACCATCTCTATTCTCCTCCTCTCCATCACTTGCTATCCCCAATCCTTATACTGCTGCTTTTTTTCCCAATTCTTCTTTAGAAAGAAGCTTTTCCAACATTTGGCCTGTCTAGACTGGACCAAATGTCAGAAAAACTTCTTTTGGAAGCCCCCTTATTCCTCATGGAAAGAGGAATATAGGGGTGACTGAAAGAGCATGTTTGCTCTTCCACTATAAGAAGCGGAAGAACAAAAGCATCCCTGGATGCAGAAGAGTTTTTCTGGGATATCTCTGGAATCCTGAAAAACTCCTGCAGTCTAGCCATACCCTCGCTGGGTTGAGACAGGATGTGTAGGCTCTGGGGTGGGAATTGAGGGATTTTGGTTTGGAAAGGGGAGAGAAGTGCAAGCTCTGGGAGGAAATCTGGATGCAGAAGGAGGTGAATAAGGGGACGCTGGCTCGGGGAGGGGGCTCCAGGCCAGGCAGTGTTGGGATCAGATGTAGGGTCGGGGTACGAAGAAAGCCACAGGCTTGTGGATGTGAGGGTTCAGGAATTTGGATTGGGGTATGTGAGGGGCTCAGGGCAGAGTGTTCCAGTGTATGATAGGCTCAGATTTAGGGTCTGGGGGAAAGGGGAGTGTGTGAGTGTTATGGTGCAGTGGCCAGATGGGAGCTTGGCCCCAATTGGGGGTTTGTTGGCCAGGCTTCATTTTTAAATAAAATACTATGTCAAACACAAAATGTTTCAGCACCCTCTCTATTCTCCTCCTGTCCATCACTTGCTATCCCCAGCCCTTACTTACACACTCTGATAAACAGTTTATTTTTAAATTATGCGATACATACAATTAAAATCACATGTTTATAGTTATGAAATAAATGGTCTGGTTTTTATTCATGATATTTAAATCTAAAATGAAGCATTTATAATTATACATTTTGTGGGGACAGAGTTCTGCGGCTGGGGGCAGGGGAGAGGAAACAGGATGCCTGGAGGGCAGAGGACACGTTTCTGCAGCAGGGGGCAGGGTGCTAGTGGGTGCAGAGAGTCCCCTGCACCGGCCTCCTTCCAGGATTCTTTTCCCCTCCCCCATTGGCATCCTGTTGCACACTCCCTCTGGGCCGGACTCCCCCTTCACGCGGAGTAGGGAAGCCCACGCACATGCCCCCTCGGAGAGGAAACAGGATGCCTGGAGGGCAGAGGACACGTTTCTGCAGCAGGGGGCAGGGTGCTAGTGGGTGCAGAGAGTCCCCTGCACCGGCCTCCTTCCAGGATTCTTTTCCCCTCCCCCATTGGCATCCTGTTGCACACTCCCTCTGGGCCGGACTCCCCCTTCACGCGGAGTAGGGAAGCCCACGCACATGCCCCCTCGGGGCCGAACCCCCCCCCCCCCCTGGAGCAAGGAGACACCC